CTAAGCTGGCGGTCGACAGGCGGTAAGAACAAATCTACCAATGCCTCCTCGCGATCAGTGCCCTCTTGCTGTGTAACATGCTGAATCAGCGACATGGGAAGTCTGCAATTGGGCGCTCGTTGTTCAAACGCAGAGCAGAATAGGTGTCTTAGAAAGAGAATCAAAGGGGTCGTGAAGGGTTCGGCTCGTCGAGGGCGACAGAAGCTAGAAAAGCGGGAGGGCGGAGTTAAATTGATGCGCGCCCTGACACGAGACCCACGATCTAGACATAGCGATCGCGGGGGTCACATGGTCACATGCGACACGCTCCCGGCTTCATGGAGCCGTTGAACATGTTGTGTAAACGTCAGTAAACGCTCTGCAACCACGACAGTCGAGTACACTGCAGAGCGGGTACGCTGCATGTTCGCTTACTAGAGAAACGCCGCGAAACGTCTAAAATGGTCGGTGTTGTTGCGATTGATTGGTCGTGCCGCGGTACTAAGTCGGCAACGAAATCGCCGATCTCCCCATCCACTTTCCTGCAGGTTCCATGAGTTGCAACCTTGGAACCCGGCGCACAGGGTCTCGATAAGGAAAAAGCAAGTAATTCGACCTCTGAGATGTTACACCGCAACTTCGACAGATAACTCTTTCATCACTGGCATGTCAACTCCCCAGGTTTTGCCTAACAATCGAGGCTTACCCTGAGGGCACCTAGGTATACAATACAATTCGTCTCATTGCCAACTGAAGGAAAAAGACAATGTAAATTCTCCGGGCGCATTATCGCAAGCCTTAATCTGTCGTCTATATCTATTCTTTGTGGTATACATTCGCATCGAAGTTTGTGGGAAACCGGTCCCGTCCTTCAGCATCGCTCCGTACCCAAACCGCAACGCTGGTGCCGGGACACTTGAACAGCCCGTACCCCTCGCTGTCGATCTCGACCTCGCCTTCCTCCCACCCAAGAATATCAGTCCACTTCTCACCAGCATGCATCTCGCCAACAGCCATCTTAATCTCCCCAGGACCTGCGTTGCTCATCACACACGCTAGACCCGCTTTCTTGTCCCATGTTCCACGGCGCACAAATCCGATGCAGTTGGCTTCGTTGAAATAATCTTCTTGAGTTCCGTACGCGAAGAGCTTTCGTGCGAGGATAAGATCGGCGAGCTTTCCGCCGCATGAAGCGGGGGTCTCATGTGGTTCAGAGAGTCCGTAGAGGTCGCCATAGAAAGGACACGGGTAACCCTCCTGCCTCAGCAGAATGAGAGCATAGGCGAGAGGCTTGAAGAAACCCTCGATCTTGGTCTCCATGACTTGACCTGGCTGTGTATCGTGGTTTGTTACGACTGTAACAGCATCTATGGGTCGCATTTGAACGAGTGTGTTATCATAGACCTTTCTAAGGTCTCCCGACTCGGTGGTGGAGATTGACCCAAAGTTGTTCAAGAGAGGCGAGTCGTAAAGAGCGAACTCGTGGTTCATGCCTTCAAGCCAGTCGCTCATCTCTTTGACATCGCCTGACCAGAATTCACCGACCACAAAGATATCGTCTCCGCACTGTTCACGCAAGTTCTTGATCCACTCGTTGGTAAACCTCGAGCTGAAATGCTGGACAGCGTCCAACCGGAAGCCCTTCAAGCCGAGTTCTTTTGTGATCCACACTCCCCAGTTCTTTACATCTTCTTGAACCTCGGGGTGTGAGTAATCGACGTCGGCGAACATCATATAATCAGCATTGCCTTGCTCGTCGTCGACAGATTGAGACCAGCCTTTGTTATCGCCAAGAATCTTGTAGATGGCTTTCTTCTCATTGGCTTGATCCCAGTCTGTGCCTGAGAAATGCTCCCAGTGATATTTCATCTTGGAATACTGTTCGCCGCGGCCTGGGAAATCGAAGCCTAGCCAACCCTCAATCTCGTAAGCGTCAGAGGTCTCCTTGGTCCTGTCGTTTTGATCAACTTCAACAACGCGACACTTCTCCGTCCTATCGGCACCAGCTTTATGGTTCAGTACAGCATCCCAGTACAAGCCTACGCCGTGCTCTTTGGCGACCTTGGTGAGTTCGAGCAGTTCGTCCTTGGTACCCCATTTGGTGCCTTTGGCGCCCTTCTGATCAAACTCGCCGAGGTCGTATAGATCGTAGATGTCGTAGCCAACGCCCTTGGGGTTGGCGGCTTTGCAGCCAGGGGGTAGCCAGATGTTGTCGATACCGATGGCTTTCAGCTTGGGAAGCTGCTCGGCCAGCCGTTTCCAGTGTTTGTGGTCGTCTGGGACATTCCATTCGAATCCTTGAAAAAGAGTACCATTCTCTGGTGTCGGCTTTTGTTCTGCAAAGCTGTTAGACTCGGGCGGCTAAGAACAAAGAAGAAGTGGGCAAGACTAACCTTCGGAGCCCATGATGGATTGCCAAGAAATGTGTTCCAAGTTCTTGAATTTGCCCTCTAAAGACTGCGGAGGATATGGGAGGCAAGTTTATTCTTCACAGGTGGTTGAGCGAGCAAAGTCTTCACTGGTACCATGGCCAAATATAAAGATAGCATTACCGCTGATAGCGCGTAACGAATCCTGCGTTGGTCGGAACTTAACAGGTTTGTCTATCATGTTCCCTGCGTTTGCGTTGGCAAGCGAGCTACGAAGTAAGGGCGCACGGGTGGTGAAAGGGTCTGGAAGCGGGTGGGGGCGACGCGGGGCGGCGCTGTTCCAGTTCAACAAAGTGCGCCGGTGACGTCAACTGGGGCTCAGCAATCACTCCGCGGCCTTGATACTGCGAAGGTCCGTCGTTGAGATAGTAAACAGAAAAAGACAGACAATCGAATCATATCACGTGCACTCGAAAAAATCCCGAAGTCTACAATTGACGGCGTTAGTGGGATGCGAGATTCTGCAGGAAGATCGTCGCTGTTGTGACAGCCGGGTGAATGGCGCTAAGCTCATCAAGGTAAGGCGCTCTTCGAATAGCGTATCCCAACTGCGTGATGCATCTTGATGATTGGTACACTACACACAATTCTACATCGTGAAAGCAGGTCTCATACTGAGGCACGGCAAGTTCACAAGTGTGTTCTCACCATTCTTTCCATGCCAAGCCGAAACGCTGTGTTGCTGCCTAATCGCGTACTTGTTACGACCTTCTCAGTAATTAACTCACGCTATACTGCCTCGCTGACTTCTCCCATGGACAGAGCGCTTGGCAGTCAAGAAAAAGGGAAAGCGCGCACCGCACGCGCTGACTTCCACAACACCCTCAAGCGCAAGATTTCGACTTCACCACCCGCATCAGCATCAACAGACTCAACCTCCTCATCTTCAAGGACGAAGCCGCGAGGAACTCGGCGAAACTACGAGCAATACAATACTCGCCCCACCTCTGATTCAGTAAATAAACGTTTGCAAATGGATTTTAGCAGAGCTCCAAAGGGCGAACAGGCGTCCGCTCAAGACAAGAGCCAGCTGATCGTTCGCTTCTACGACCCTGATATATACGCCAAGGATGCACTTGGCCGCCAGCTCCACCAGATACTAGCGTGGCCAGACCAACGGCTAGAGTCTTCTCACAACTACATTCAGATGCTCTTTCCGCTGCCAGAAGGCTCTCCGTTCAATATGGAAGTAAGTTGCCCTCCGTGCAGGAAAAGACACTATGCAAACATACACTTGTTATATTCTGCAATCATCGTAAGAAAAAGTATAGTGAATCGGTTCTGGGGCACAGTTTCCAGTCCGAGGGTATACGGCGAGAGAAAGAGCCCCTTTCGTATGTCCATTTGACTTGGGCAGCATGCTGACCATGATACAGGCCCCAATCATCAATCTTGAAGTAATGCAGGCGTTTCGTTCCCGGAGTGAGCTACGACAGGAACTAAGACGAAGCTTTGAGCGTATGCTTAGCTTCTATGGTTTCAAGGAGTCTAGCAAGTCCGAAGAAGAGTTGCAGAGAGAGAAAGATTCAGCCCCTGGGGCAGATAAATCGGTTGCCTCCACGTCTTCGTTCCCACCAGGCGCCCATACGAATATCTCCGCGTCCAAGCTGCTCCCATACCACATCGTTCGCACACCTGGTTTCCGGAAGAAGTTTGCCAACTGGGCCGTTCAATTCGATCACAACCATCTTCGTATCACGCGTATCCTCCGCTCGCTACGTGTCTTGGGTCTACAGAAAGAGTACAAGGCCTTTTTTGCTGCACTCGAACGCGCATACAATGACCCCATGATTAGCATTAGTGCCAAGAGCATGGGTTTCTGGAGGCTAGCTGTTGAAAGTCCCTTGCACTTGGCGCCTGACGGCAAGAAGTGCAAGTGGCTAAATGACTGGGAGAAGGAGCAAGAGAGGTAAGTCATGGATGCACAAAATGCATATGAGACATATACTGACTTCATACCTTCACTCTCATAGCATGAAACTGGTGGATGAAAAGAGACTGAGAGATGAGCAGCACGGTGCGCAGGAGACAGAGTCGATCAAGATCGACAACGACTTGAAAAAGTCTGATGATGACGTATAAGGCTCGCGTATAGTTTAAACGCTACTTTGGCTGAGATGATTATAGACTGTTTGGGTGTATCACTCTGTACATCTCTAGCAGCCATTAGGCGTCCTCGAGCTACCTACTATGATAGACTCCGTAGTGGTTCTACTATAGACTAAGCACGTTAGGTTCACTTTTTTGTAAAAGTCGCAGCTAACATGTGCAATAGACACATGTTTGAGTTAGGTGTTTTTTGGAGTTATTTTTTGTTCTAAATTACATTAACAGGGACGCCGAAGTTGAGACGACAGTTTAGCAGCAAAATTTTGTTCCGTTTGAGGAAGCGGATCTTGTTGAGTACGCGCTTGATGAAACTGTTCCGTAGGAAAAGGCGAACAAGCACTTTGTGGAGTAGGCGGGAAGGGCTACTGCGTCGGAGTCGAAGAGTGAAGACAAGATCGAGGATGAATCGACGGATGAAAAGGATATTGATCGGAAACGGGAGTACTTGTCTTGGGTATACATGTCTTCAGGTTAATTGCTCATCTACAACTTTGCGTCACTGAATGGAACGAACTTCTCTCCACTAGCCTCTTCGACCCTCTTCGCAGCACTCTTGTATGCATCCCTCTTCTGTAACCTCCTCATGTACTCATACAACTTGGGGTAACTCGTCTCACTCAACGGCATTCTCTGCGTCGCACCCTCAAGTCCGAAATGAATCATGATATCCGCAGCGGTGAGCTTGTCGCTGCAAAAGAACTCGCCCTTGCTAGGTGACTTGATGAGGTAGTCCTCAAGGAAGTCAAAATGCGTCTTCAGCTCTGGGTCGACGAAGCCAGAGTCGACCTTGGAGGCGACACCGTTGGTAATGGGCTTGAGGAAGAAGGGCACAGGGGCGTTTTTGATGCCTGGGATTGTTGATTAGTGAAATGGCGTTGAGATCAGAGCAGGGGTGGCTTACTTCCGGTGACTAGTGCCAATATCAGGATGGTAAAGAGACTACCCTCAGTGTAGTCCATCAGGAACTGTATTAGCGTCAGTTTCTTAGTCTCTCCACGGTTGGTTTCGATTAGAAGAAATCCGTGCCACACAAGCTGATTGGCTAGCTTTCGCGCTTATTTCCTTGAACATGTATATCTTCCTTCTTACGCCAAAAGTGACAAGAGCATGTCTTACCTTGTATCTCATCCACTCCTCGGTCTCGGCACCTAATACACCCTCCTGTCCCTCAGGGTAACGCGCTGGCATCAACTGCTTCCCAAAGTGGTCACAAATGTACTCCATGATCGTCGCGCTTTCAACAATGACAATATCCTTGTCGGAGTTTGCTGGCCTGATGGTAATGGCGGGCGATTTGCCCAGAGGGTGGACGGCCTTCAGGTCGGGGCCCGCGCGCTTGTTCTCATCGCGCTTGTAGACGGCGATGTCGTACTCCAGACCAAGCTCTTCGAGCAGCCATACAACGCGTTGGCCACGGGATTTGTTCAGCCTATGCGGTGGATGATTAGTCGTGATTACTGGGATGACGATGGCGCAATGCGGTGGAGTCAAGCGGCTGTCACACGGCCACTTACCAATGAACGGTGATCTTTGCTCCCTGCTGGTTCGACATGCTTACAACGGTTTTCGACAACGTTATAGATGATATATACAGTAAAGAAGAACGTTTTTGTCAACTGAAAATGAAGGGTCAAATATGACCGAGGCTCTTTGACGAATTTATCGAAGGCCGTCACAAGCTTCGGCGTCCAGCCAGTCGGTGGTTGGCTGGTTGCGCTGCCCGCTCCGGCGTATCGTGGCTTAGTGTCGGCTGGCCGACGCTCCGAAGTATCAATGAGAAGCAGGAATTCGACCTCCCGTTTAGCATATGCAGTACCTATACGATTCTTGATGGTGTGTAAGACGCGAGGAACCGGGTAGTAATGTGGATAGATATCTGGCGCATGATGAGAGAGTTGGCCGTCTCAGTAGCTTGGGCGTCAGGTACGACCTCATCGGAGGGTGCATGAAGACATTTATTATCATAGGGATTCAGAATTTCAGTAGCAATCTTAGAATATCTACTCATGTGTTTTACGGTACCTATGATAGTTGTACGTGATGCTACAGTGAAGCGCCAAGACCTAGCGGCACTTGCCGCAGCTCCGACGACCTCATTGCGCGCACCTCGTCAACCTTACGATCACCAACTGCGCAACCCTACCACACGCGCAAAAGTCCGCAAACATGCAGCCAACTTTCCGCAGAATGGCGGGCCACAACCACGGCAGTACGTATCGCCACTCTACAAAGCATTGGGGCGCAATGGCTAACAACACGCAGTGATCCACGCGGATCCCGCCATTATCAAATGGGCCAGTACGTTCACCACCGACCCCGCCGCACACAGCCCTCCATGATACCGCAGACAGTGGTGCAATTGTTGGAAGATCATATCCCACAGCGCAAGGGAGACGATACAGCAGGCAGAGGAGAGAACAGGCAATATAGGGTACTGACGAGGAATAGACATGACCACCAACCGCCACAAGTACTTCCGCTGGACGAAGCGAACAGCTTGGCTCTCGTTCGCCTACGTTATGCTGGTGCCGGCTATGCTGGGTACGGCTGGATACATGACCGAGGTGAGTTTGGATGAACATGGATGAGAGGGGAGTGACGTACAAGAGGCGCGGTACACGGAGAGCAGATAAGAATATCGCTGACAAGTTGATTCAGGGCAAGTGGGAGATGCGCGGCAAGCGGAGGGGCGACCTCATCTCCGAGTTCTAGATATGGAAAGCGGAGGACGAAGGAGCGGAGCGAATGAGGCCGTGTACATATGGAAATACCATTGCATCACCAACGTCACTTAGCATCTCCCTACTGATCTAGCGCGAGTGAACTAAGATGCAGTTCCCCTGCGCTCTTCTTTACATATGTCTCATTATCACCGCCATCTGCAACCTTGGTGTCCCACCACGGGACTATCAACTCTCAGGTCTTTCGAGTCCAAGATAGCTAAGTGTTATGCATAAATGCGATGCAGTGACCGAGATGGAAACTCGAAGACGCAAGCTCCCTAAATATTGTAACCTGCACGCGAACCTATCGTGAAGGTATGCCGCCATTTATCCTTTTTCAGCAGAATGATTGAGAGTACAACTGGTAATTCTGCGTTACACCGTTGTTGTAGGTACAGCTCTGAGGAAGTTCTTGTGTTCTGAATTGTTGCAGGTACCACTGTCTCTAATTTGAATGCTATGTTAAAGTTCGTCTAACGAGTGTCTATATACAAAGGAAAGCGCAGTCTAAATCCCGAACTCCACCGCCCACTCCGAAACGAACGGCCTCGTCATCCTAACCGTCTACAGCATCTGGTGCACATTCAATCTCTCAACCGACACTAGGTGCACCAAGTTCTTCAACCTTAATACCCACTCGTGGAGGACGGGTAAGCACTTGAAGAGGCCGACGGAGACACCCCACCAGCCTCATAAGGGATCCCACACCTCTTCGCGCAGCTCTCCACAATTGCCGTAAAGTCACTGGTAAGCTCAGGCCTCAAACCAGCAACCTGCTCCGGCGTCAAAAACTCACTATAGCCCGCACTCGCTTCAAGAACCTCGTCTGGGGTACCCGAAAAGAAACCTCGAGCTGCTTCAACGCGTCCAGGGTCATTGATATCGAAGCCAGCAACGAATACAGCTGGCTCGCACTCTGGATTGAACTGCCAATGAATGAGGCCCTTGGGGAAAAGCATGCCTGTGTAGTTGGACAACGTGGTTTCAATCTGTTGGTATGGACCACGCACCGGTGGTGCGCCACCCACTACGTTGCCAAATCCGCTGTCGTTTTCAAGAAGGAGGGCACCGACCAGTGTACCTTGGACTACTGTCAAGAACTCATTGGCGCGTGGGTGCCAGTGTGGCGTGTTTAGACCACATGCGTTAACGAAGCCCACGGCTGCTGCTAGGCCTGTGGAACCAAGCGCAGGGAAATTATTGATAGTGGACAGGTAGATTGAACCGGCTGTTGGCGGAAGGACGGTGTTGTTGAGAAACTGAAAGGTGTCGTTACTGGCGTTGGGAGGGTTGGGGAAGAGAATTGCTTCGCGAGCGGATTCGGACTGAGCAAGAAGGAGCTCGTTGCGTTGGGTCGTTAGTTGGGCAGCGGTGAGGATGTTGACTGTGCTTGGGTTGATCTCGCGTTTGGTAATGGAGACGGGGTTGGCTGTCGCGAGGGTTACCAGCAGGGCCTTGAGGAGGAGAAGGGGGTGCATGGTTGCTGGTAAGTGGCTGGGTAAATCAATTGATCTATTGCTAGAGAAGATGAGGAGCGTGGTGAGAAGTTCATAGCAGGGTGTTCATGTGCCTTATATGCTTCTGCATGAGTTGACGGCAACAAAACTGAGTATCCCGCTCACGCCCATTCTTTCTCTAGTCGTTGTACTCGCCCACTCCACTCAAGCCACATCTGATCACAAGATTCATCAACATGGTGAGTTTTTATTCATGTGGCGTTGAAAAGAATGCTTGACACGGCAACTTTCCAGACTCTTTAGAGGTGCTCATGCTCACGATCATGGCAGAGACATCATCAGGACAACTATATATGCCTAGTTCTGTGCAAAATAGACGAATGGTGTTGGTAGTCGAGATGGTGGTGTGGGGAGTATGGACGCCTACATGACAGTGAGAATCAATAAGCGCTGAATGCCTTGATGAGCTTAAGGGCAGCTGTTGGGATTTACGTTAATGGGATTTTGACTCGTGAACATGATGAAGCGATTGGATGGACTCATGGATGTGAATGCAGGTTCAACCACGAATTACCAGTACGTTGTGCAAGATCTTCAACAGCAACGATGCCAGCAGTAAGCCTTTGGCTTTCGTTACCTAAAGTCATAAGGCCCTCGCAAGGGAACGTGTCCTTCCCTAACCTCGTAAAGATCACTCCCTCTAGTCCCTTATAGCGAGTGCACGTTGAATCAAGCCTAAAAGATGGCGTTATACATGACGTTTCTCCAGCGGTGAGCTCAGTCCCATCTGCTCTGACGGCAAGAACTTTGGTTTAGAATACCGATGCTCTAAAGGCTACATTCCGTATCAACATTTGGAAAACCAGAGCTCTAGTCGTAAGCCGATTTTCATACTCCATGTGACCCACAATCCAGAAGGGTGTCGTTGAGTAACCAAAAGCCATCAAAGTCCTCGGCGCCTTCCGATCAAGTACACCTACATGAGGTCGTCTTTCGTATGTAACATGTCTACGTACGCGAATTAGGTCCTATGCTCATGATCCAGCCTGACTTCTTGACGCGCAAATCACGCAAATCATTGTAAGCAAGCCGTATGTCTTGGCCATGTCCTCAGGCTTACGCGCCACACCGCCCTAGCCTGTGTATTAGCGTATCAAAGCCACTGTTACGGGCTTCCCTCATGGTCTGCATGCCATTCGCGTATGTTGTTTCTTGTGGCGGTGTTGGTTTTATGGTTTGCAACGACTGTGCGCAGTCATGATCTGGATCACGCGAACTATGCTCGATTATTAACCCAGTAATAACTGCAATACGTAGGCTTCTCGGCCGAATTTTTTTATTCAAGTGCGTCACTGAGCACCTCGCACGGACTTGTAGTGGTGTCGTACGTGAGCTGTCCACAGGCACATGGGTAGAGACTGAGATGCTAATTAGCCATACAATATTTTGCAAGCGAAAGCATCAGGTTTGGTAACATTAGCAAAAATGCCAATCGATCCATATTGGGCAGGAACAAAAATCAAAAACATACAACAGCGGGGATTCGCCAGTGGTCACCCACCTGACTACTAATCCGCCGGTATCTTGCTTAACTAGGGCTGAGCGAACGGGAAGCCGTGATCTCAAGATCCTATGGTCGTATGTGAAAGAATTGGAAGCGTGATACAATCATATTCGTCAGTCAAGTGTTGGTGCGCAAGCTTTTCGACCGCCATACTATACGATCCTGTACCTAGCCACTTCCCAAAAAGCCTCTCGACGAATTTCGTATCCGTTGGGATGTGAACGCCTCGATCTTTGCTGCGCATAGCACGACTTGCATCCTCTTCCCTTCGGCATCGCTCTCAATGGGTTCGACGCGAATGCGCCAGTGCGCGCGTTTGATCGTCCACTCTTCCTCATCACCCTCGTTAGCGCTGTTAGAATGACCACCCCATATCCAGTCGTCTCCCTTGCCCGTGTGGCGGATGCCAATATGGTCAGTACCACCAAAGGAAAGCTCTGCTGGTGATCCATCGACTTCTAGAGCACAATCTTTATCAAATCGTACGCGGACACGCCGTTCGCTGACGCCCGAATTGGCGGGACTGACGGGTTGCGCTGCCACTCCACCACCAGATTGCACATACATTAGGCCAAGGGGCTGTGTAGCCGGCAAGCCCATCTTGGAAGCTATGACAGAGAAAAGTGAGGTCACTCGTGCCAGGGTTGAGTTATGGAAAGTTGCTCGGAGTTCGGCTTTGAGCGGAGGCCATGTTGGTGGCGCCTTTGGAAGGTAGAGCTTTGTTGACTCAGATGATGCGATTTCCACGACGAGGATGTTGCTGTTCGCATGGTCATCTGTATATGGTCGTGCATAAGATACATATCCTGGCCTGGAAATTGCACTGCTGCTTGCTGTTGATGGGGCGGGACTTGCAACCTTGCTTATGGATAGAGGATCCGGTGAGACGCCTGCTGATTGTGCTCCCGATATCGACCCCGAGTCTGAGTCGCCGACTTCTCTATCGGGACTGAACGAGATACCAGACTGTCGAATATCTTCAAGACGAATTAGGATCTCCGACTCTTGCCGTTTAAGGTTATACGAGATCTCGCAAGGTATGAGCTTCTGCTCCAAACCTTTGAGATGAAAGTATCGCGCATCCCGCAGAAGACGAGAGCGATGCGCCTCACTTCGTATCTCGACGTTGTAGCCTTGCAGTAGTTGTATCAACTCGCCAAACACCTCTCCGTTTCTACTCGGCACGGACGGAGGCTTGATAGACGGTGGTCGAAGCAGCGCATCGCGGTCCAGTCCCGGGAATGCCTCAGACGGCGTCGAGAAGAAATGTGCAAAGCCAAGCGAAAAGTAGTTGGGGCTATCTCCAGGAGCAGAGAAAAGATCGCGTTGTATCTGAAAAGGCTTTCCTCCGATGTTCACGAAGATGTCAGTGCTGAACAGCTGTTTGGTGAGACGCGGCACTGCTATCATCAGCATTGAATTATGTGACACGCATGGCTGAGCTTACGAGAATAGAACTGCGCATCCGCATATAGCTTTACAAAGTGCTCGCCATCTCGAGGGGTAACATGATAGCCCTGAAGGTGCAGCGCAATGTCGCGAAAGGTATCAGGATCGCGATCGATGTACAGCGTCCTCACGTCGCCAGCTCGACCGCCATTGTCATGCAGTTGCTGGCTGAAGAAATGCGAAAAGTGCGAGGGTGCTCTAGTAGTCTCAGTTGCTAGCCTCTCTTCATGCATTCACCGCATGCTTACCATCTGACGCTATAGAGGCTCCCGATAGCCTGAATAGCTCTGATCCTATTTGTATGGGAAACACCTTGCCAGCAGGAAGTATGTCCAGCCCTCCAGGCGACTCAGGCACTCTGCGCGGTGTAGAGACATCGATGACCCTTCCCTGTGGTCCAGTCCCCTTGCTCTGCTCCTTCCGCCTCTCTGGTGCTGTATTCTCTCGCGACGCTGGTTGGGGTAGAGCTTCAGTCGTGGGCGCATGGGTTGCAGTTCGCGTGGTGGACGGTGTACGAGCATCAGCCGGGGCTGGTAGGACTGGCGAGGTTGCTGAGGCGTCGGATGAATGCCGCGACACGTTCTGGCGCTTCGGTGGATTCTCCGTTGTAACGCCACCACTTTGCGGTACAGTCGTACTGAGCTCGGAATTGACCTTCCTTTTCATGCCTGCTTGAATGGATGGTCTCTGCGGCTGCTGTGGTTGGGCTGGCGGAGGCGGAGGAGACAATTGGTTCTGACCTTGCGCAGCGTTCGGCGTCGTAGTAGCGCTCTGGCTTTGGGGGAACGCTTGATACGTCGGTTCTCCCGCAGCGACAGAATGTGGAATACTAAAGTCGTTGATAGGGTTTACTTGGCTTTGGTATTCTTGAACAAGTTCACCCTGGGGCTCGTACTGGTTCGTGAAGTCTGAGAAGTCAATCGCATCCCAGCCTGCAGGCGCAGATGAATTAAAGCCAAAGCCGTTGAAGTGCCCTGGCATCACTTGGTGCTGTTGCGAGTCACCAGCATAGTCACGAAACTCCGTGGGAAAGTCATGACTATGTGTCTGGCTCCTGGCCTCGGCCGTGTTCGCGTTCGCGTTGTGTTCGGCATGGTAGCCGCCGTAGAACTGCTGTGGGTGCTGTTGCGACGCTCCACTTGCTTGGTCAGATGTTTGAAATGCAAAATCGCGAGATGTTGCGCCCGAACGGTCGGACATTGGCTAGCTACAACGAGGATCGCTTCGCATTGAGCGATAAGACGCCTCGGTGGAAGCAGGTTTTGATCCGCTCAGAGGAAGGAATTCGTGGGTTGCTGATGAGAAGCTGAGTAAGAGCTCTGGCATGGGTAGCTTTCGGAATCGATACTCGATGCGGTTTGGCACCAACGGCGACTGAGCTGGGACGGCGTGAAAGAGAGTGAGGGGCAGCTAAGCTTCAACTCCAAGCAACGTCGCTGTTTTATGAAGACGTTGTACAAGCTAGTCCACGTGTTTGGGAAATTATACGGGCTGTGAGGCTGAGACTAAGGCTGACATAGCTGGCAGTTGGTAATCGGCGAGCCGACGCGGGATGACCGATGGAAAACTGAAGCTGACGTGAGGTGCTCTGGTTCCAGCAATCAGATCGTCGCGCAGCGCGCTCTGATTGAGCGGCATGCTGCCTTAAACTTCACTTCATCGAGGTAACATCCTGGACGAAGCTGTTGGTTGTTAGAACATGAGACGATCGATGCGATAGCGATTGTTTGTTATTGCGTGCAGTTGACAATTCTGACGTTGCGGCTACGTCCTGGCTGCTACTTTATGAATAGCTCCGGATCCCTAGATCACAAACACTACTTTAAGATCTGAATCATGTAAAGGACATCAATCCTTATCAATTCATTACTATTCCCTCAATTGGATTGGATTTCACAAGTAAAGTGCAGTTCTTGGACATTATGAGTTGGGTCTATTGCAGCATATTTCCTACTCGATCGTACTGTTACATAAAATCGCCGTCTAAGCGAAGCAAGATCTAACTCGA